TTTATGTTGAATACTTAATTTATATGAGATTTATGGGAGACAATCTTTAGCGCTGGATATTAGCATTTAAAAAACTTTTTTTCGTCTGTAACAACCAAACAAACTCTTTATAAAATGGTTACGTATCTAATATATTTATATGTATAAAGAGGTTAGTATGACTAAAAATGGAAGTATGTATTAATGACAAAGGTGGTCGTTACGGGACCGACTTAAATTCATATCTCGGAATTTTGAGCATTGAAATGCAAACATTTTCGACAAAAACTTAAGAAAAAAACGAAAATAACCGTTGTTGTCCGTTGACATCTTTGTATAACACTTTAAACTCTGATAATTAGAAAATTAGTAATGAAATACTTTCTTATACAGTAATTGTTGGACATGCTATCTAGTATCAATAATGCATGAATTGACTATGAAACTACGATACAATTATAGTAAAAAAAACTACGATACAAAACTATTATCATCAATATTCAATATGAATATTTATTGATCAAATATCAATATGAACAATTTGATAGCAAGTAATATTCTCTCTTTTTATACGTAGAAGTTATTCCAATTAATACTAATCCAATATAAGAAACAATAATCATATAAGGAATGAATATCAATAATTTGACCGAGATTTTATACTGTTCAAACCATATGTTTGTGGATAGTATATTCTCTTTTTGTAAATTATTCCAATATTGTCAGATTTAGTATACAGAAAATTAATTAGATGATCTCTAGCTAGTCGTCACTCTCCTAGTCAAGGCAATGGTCGTATAAGATTCACTCTCGAAGACTCGTTGACTTATTTAATATAACTATTTAACAAACAAACAAAAAACAAGTCATTCTACATACATACATGCATATATGTGAACGAGTATGCGTGTGGGTCTATATAAATACATTGTGAGTGATCATGTGAATTCAACCATTACAATTGTGTGACTATCATTTAAAGCACAAAGCAAAACAAATAATCCAAACCCATAAAATAAAATAAAAACTGAGAGGCCAAAAAATGGGCTTCTTTCTATCTTCCTCCTGGTTTCTTCATCCCGAGCTTCATCATGTTGTTTCCAAGATGTCTTTCTTTGATTCCTTTCTGTTCTATGTAAGTATACGTCTTTTTTTTTCTTTGCTAATATGTAAGTATACATCTCTCTGTCTCTTTATATAAACTACACTGATTCTTTATCTTCTAGGATAATTGTCAACTAATAATCATAATTGTTTGATAATATATGATTAATTAATTTATTTATTTTTCTTTTAATTATACGTATAGATTGTGCACTTAGTGGACAAGCTAGGTTTATGGCATAGATTTCCAGTGTTATTGGGAGTAGCTTACTTGGGGATACGAAGACATCTGCATCAACGTTACAATCTGATACATGTGGGTGGAATCAACGGTCAGGGTTACGACACCAATGAGTTCTCTTATCGTACGGCTGATGGCAAGTGCAACCATCCCTCCGATGACTCCATCGGTAGCCAAGGAACCTTTATTGGTCGGAATATGCCTCCATGTACTTCTCAGTACGGCGTAAGTTTATTGTTATTTATATTCACAATTACATTTACATACCATGCACATTAATTGGTTTAAAAGTAAATCTGTGTAGTAAAGTATTTGATCAAATTGTACACATATATGCCAAACTGTTAGTAGCGGAATGAAACAGTAGGACCAACTTTTCGGGTTGATTCTATAAATTTTAATTAAAAAAAAAGTAGGACTAACTTTTGTGACACATTACCTTTTCTTATCTCTACTCACTAGTGGTTGGAATCATGATGTATGATCTTCTTTTGCTTTAACTTTATATATGTTATAGGTAATAAAGTTTTTGTTTGTTATGAAAGTGCATTTTTCATGGTGCAGTAGTAGATATTCATCTATGAAATTACATATTACTTTTTCCTTCAACTAAAATTATGTTATGAATTACATTATTCTTTATAAACGCAAAAACGGCTATTTTTATAATCACTAATTTGTTTTATATTATAACTTATGATAGTTGACTATTACAGATTCTGGATCCACATCCAAGTGTGGTGGCTACTAAGTTGTTAGCAAGAAAAAGATTCATAGACAATGGAGACCAATTCAACGTGATAGCATGTTCTTGGATTCAGTTCATGATCCATGATTGGGTTGATCATTTAGAAGACACCAAGCAGGTTTTTATTCTTTTTAATCTAACCCCTTAACTTTATTTTTTAAACGTATTAATGACTATTTTAAAACCTCAACCAGATCGAGCTTGAAGCTCCAGAAGAAGTAGCAAGTGGATGTCCATTGAAGTCCTTCAAGTTCTTCAGAACAAAGAAAGTTCTATCTGGTGATCACCACAAATCTGGTGCTGTCAACACTAGAACCCCATGGTGGTACGTCTTTGTGTGCTTAATCACTGCTTAATTGTTGATTATTGTAATGAAAAAATTGGAAATAGGGACGGGAGTGTAATATATGGAAATGATGAGGCTGGAATGAAAAGAGTTAGGGTTTTCAAGGACGGGAAGCTAAGAATCTCCGGGGATGGTTTATTGGAGTTAGACGAAAGAGGTGTTCTGATCTCAGGTGATATAAGAAACAGCTGGTCAGGTTTCTCTCTGTTGCAAGCCCTCTTTGTTAAAGAACACAACTCCGTCTGTGAAATGCTAAAAGTAAGTCATTAAACTTAGGTTTGGTATCTTTCTTGTGTTGCAAGGAACCTCTGTTTATGTAGAATCACACTAAATTCTAACTCCTTTTCAGGAACGGTATCCAGATTTTGATGATGAGAAACTCTACCGGACTGCGAGATTGGTGACAGCAGCTGTTATCGCCAAAGTTCACACAATTGACTGGACAATAGAACTCTTGAAGACAGACACACTTACTGCTGGAATGAGGATCAATTGGTATGGATTTTTAGGGAAGAAAGTGAAAGACATGATTGGGGCAAGATTTGGACCAATACTTAGTGGATTAGTTGGTCTAAAGAAACCAAGAGATCATGGAGTTCCTTATTCGTTGACAGAGGAGTTCGTTAGTGTCTACAGAATGCATAGTCTTCTACCAGAAACACTTGTCCTCCGAGATATGAGACCTAAGAATATAGACAAACAAAACCCTACAATAGAACGAGAGTAAGACACATAGAATGTTTTGTACATTGTTTAGGCTAATCCAACATCCAAGTGCAGTTTTTGTTAACCTAGAAAGATGTTTTTAATAGGGTACCAATGTCAGAACTCATTGGGAAGGAAGGTGGAAGAAAGAATTCGAGAATAGGGTTTGAGCAGTTACTAGTTTCAATGGGACACCAATCTTGTGGTGCATTGACATTGTGGAATTACCCTAATTGGATGAGGAACGTTGTGGCTCAAGATATCGATGGAGAAGATAGACCTAACCTTGTAGATATGGCTGCCTTGGAGAGTAAGTCAAATCAAATCAATGATTCTTTTTGTTCTTCTAAACTTATTGATTTGATTTGATTCTTTTCTTCAGTTTATAGAGATCGGGAGAGAGGAGTTCCTAGGTACAACGAATTCAGAAAGAATCTGCTGATGAGTCCTATCAAAAAATGGGAAGATTTAACAGATGATGAAGAAGCTATCCATGCTTTAAAGGAAGTGTACGAAGACGATATAGACAAGCTCGATGTAAACGTTGGGTTGCACGCAGAGAAGAAGATCAAAGGATTCGCCATTAGCGAAACTGCTTTCTTCATATTCCTCCTCGTTGCTTCCAGGTTACTACATTTATTTAAAACAGAGGCTTTTCTTGTGTCGCAAGGAAACAAACTTACTTATCTTGAATTTTTATTAGGAGGTTAGAAGCAGATCGTTTTTTCACGACCAATTTCAACGAGAAGACGTATACGAAAGAAGGATTAGAGTGGGTTAATACAACAGAGACTTTGAAGGATGTAATAGACCGACACTTCCCGAACTTAACCAACCAGTGGATGCGATGCACGAGCGCATTCTCCGTCTGGAGCTCAGATCCTGACCGAACCAATTGGCTTCCTTTGTACCTCCGATCCGCGCCATAAGCCGTTAGATGTGGTGACAGTGTATGCGTCACGTGGTTATGTCCTTGGTATATATATTTTTAGATATGGTTTGGTTTTAGATAACTACGTCTCATAAATAATGTTTTCATGCTAAAACAAGCAAACCCGTACCCTGAGTGAGAGTGAACAAGCAAACATTTTGTTAAAAAAATTTCAAAGCTACAGCCTAATCCAATCTAATCAAATCGTACCCTTACTTGATCGGATTTGTCATTTGCTAAAATTAAATATTTACCTCTAAAATATTTATTATTTTGCAAATAATAAAAATCAGATACGATCATATTCTAAAATAAGTATATTTGTTATCTACTTTATCTACTTCTATTAATGGATTTTTAAATCTAATCTAATATTTTTGTCTGATTTATGTTATAATGTAAATAAATGACAAAATATTTTTAACAAACAAATATTTTCTAAAACGAGTAACAAATAACAAGTAACAAGTCAAACTAACATGAAAACTATTAAGTATATAAAGATATTTACTATTTAACGTGTATTTGGAAGTATAAGATTTGTGGATTTGTTATCCACATTGAAAATACCAAATATTTTATTTTTTCAAATCGAATACGGAAAGTAAGGAGTATAAGCCAAGTATCGTATAATCATGTATTATTCAAAATTTTCTTAATGTCTATTTGGGTGTACCAAGTAAAACGGCGCGGTGTTTGGTTTGCATCCACATAACTCTATCCGAGACTCTCAGCCATACAAGAACGTTAAAAATGGCGACTTTTCTCAAGAGTGCGTGATCTTTTTGTTCTTGATTTTCTGATAGACGGAAACAAATAAGAAAAGGATAACACATCTTGTCTCTCTTCGATCCATTTTTATTTTGTTGCACCAAAGCTTTAAAAGGGAATTATTTTTGGGGAAAAATACTGTTTTTTTTTTTTTTTTTTTTAACCGTTGGGTAGAATGGGAACGGTTCTTGATTCGCACTTTCTGGCTCTCACTGCCATTGTTACTGTAAGTTCTATGCCATGTTGAATCTTTCTCGCGAAAATTATGTGATTGGTTATCTTTATTCATATCCGATCTGTTTTTTTTACTGATGGGTTCTTGTCTTGTTTCTCTTTTTTATGGTTTTGCAGGTGGTGTACCAGTTCATATTCTTCATAATCACCGCTCTTTTCAAAATCGATCAAGTCACTGATTTTGCAGGTTCAATTTCCTCACTTTTTTTGTGTATGTAGAGAGGTTTCTTGTCCTTTAGGTATTTGCTTACGTAGGAGTCAAGTTTTGGTTTTCATCTTGATTATGTATGTTCAGGAAGCACAAATTTTGTTATAATAGCTCTCTTGACTCTTATTCTTAAAGGCACTTGGCATTTTCGCCAGGTAAGTCTCATCTCTTCTTTTCTTTATTTTTCTATTTGTTTTGTTTTCCTTCTGTTCACTTGAAACTCTTTTCTACTCACAGATTGTCTTGACTTTGCTTGTTGTGGTATGGGGACTTCGCTTGGGAATTTTCCTTCTAATGAGGTGTCTCTACGAAGCTACACAAAATATTTCATTACATCTATGGTCATACTAACATGTCACTACTTGTCATTTTTAGGATCTTGCAATGGGGAGAAGACCGACGATTCGATGAAATGCGTGGAAACTTGGTGAAACTAATAGTTTTCTGGACTCTCCAGGTAAACTTTTACTTTTTACATTTGATGCTTCTGTTCTCAAACTACTTAACTTCTTGTTTTTTTTTTAACATTGTAGGCCGTGTGGGTTTGGACAGTGAGCTTACCTCTAACTATTGTTAACGCAAGTGATGGTGGAGGATCTCTTAAACCCAGAGATGTAATCGGTTGGACAATGTGGGTTATCGGTTTCTTGATTGAAGCTGCAGCTGATCAACAGAAACTCTCTTTTAAAAACTCTCCAGAGAACAGAGGAAAATGGTGTGACGTTGGCGTGTGGAAGTATTCAAGACATCCAAACTACTTTGGTGAGGTTAGTATTTTGATATAAAACAAGAAATCTTGAAATTTTTTTAGTATAAGTTTGTAACTAGATATATCTTCAGATATTACTTTGGTGGGGAATCTTTGTGGCTGCATCACCTGTGCTTGAAGGTTTAGAGTATCTTGTCATACTAGGACCACTCTTTCTCACTTTGCTACTTCTATTCGTCAGCGGCATACCATTACTCGAGGTTCTGTCACTCTCTTTCTCTACTTCAGACCACTTTCTGAATTTCACATGGCTAATTTCAATATAAACAGGCATCGTCTGACAAGAAACATGGCAATTTGGGAGCTTACCGATTCTATAAGAAGACAACAAGGTTTAACAATATGATCCCTTGCTATTGATAAAGTTTAATAAACCTTGAAGATGTGTTATATATATAGATAGCTAAATTGTTTCTATTTTCAACTTGATATTTTAGTCCTCTGATTCCGTTACCGAGAGGAGTGTATGGGAACTTACCAGGATGGTGCAAGGCAGTCTTTCTCTTAGAGCTTCCATTTTACAGCAGGAATCTCCCTGAAGAAGCTGATGTTTCGTAAGTATCTCTATTCAAATTTTTCATCTCTCTTTTTTACCTTGCTATAGTGTTGATGAGTTTTGTTTTTTTTCCTTGGTGAATCTTTACGTGCAAGAAAGTTAGAGGAGACTCCAAGAACGACAAAGAGAAAGTATCAACTGAAAAACTACTGATTTGTGAACTCAATTTGAGCTTCTGTTCTTACAAGACTCTGATGTTGTGTAAAAGATTGCTCGAAAAATATTGATTTTAGTTGTGAATGGTTAAATTATGATTAATTTGATTTGAAGTTTGAACCATGTGATGTCCATTTTTATTTGGATATAATTAGATAACTGAAACGAATATAAATACGGTAAAATGAGTCAACGACGTTGTACATGACAATAATAACATCATCAAAGTATCCCAAAACAATAAACTGATATAGCTTCCTCCTTCCATGCATGCAGCATCTTCTTATACAAATTAGTTATAAGTCCATATTAGTAATGAGAAACTAGTCGGGGGTAATTTCATTCTGTGATTGCATGGAATGTCTGAAACGAAGAAAGGCTCGTTTGAAGCAGTTGTAGGCCACAATGAGGAAGAAAACGGTGCCACATGCACAAAACAATACGTTAACAATGTCGCCCATAAAATTGAATTTTGTATCTTTTGTGACAGCAGATTGTACTAATCGCACGTTCCCGTAAGTACCAACTGCGATTAAAGACAGACATGTTAATCCAATAATCACCATCCCAGCCGGTATGACAAACTTTAATACATCTCCCCAAAAACTCATCTTCTTTTGTACTGTTCTATTGTATATAATCTTCTCCTGGTCTAATTTTGGGTCTCGCCGACGATAGAAAAGAGCTTCACTTATATACATGCACGTAAAATATAAGTGGTGTACTGTTCAATTACTGTGAGATTTTATTGTTTGCGTCACGTACGGTGGTAATTAAATCAAGCATGCATGAATGGTAATAATTCAATTAGATTAAGTAATCAATCTTGGATTTTACTATATCGTGTCTATTCTCTTTTTCAATTGGGGGTTTTAATTAATAGTTTTGATACCTATACTATTATTTGAGAATTATATTTGTTTAGTTGTCATGTTTTCCATAATTTTAAATAGTTTTATTTTCATGTTTTTATGATTTTGACTAATGATTAACTATCACTCTTAATGAATAATTAGATATATTAATTAACTATAAATTAAAAACAAGTTAATAAATAATCAACCTTAGCTAAAAACAAATTTTATTAATTGGATGATTATCATTATCTAAAAATGGTTTATATTAATTAAACATAAACTTAAAAAAATTTGATATATAATTGACCATTAATTAAAAATAAATTTCATTGATTTGATAATTATCTTTATCAAAAATCATTTATATTATGTTATAAAGTCTTTATTAACGTTAACAAACAATTATATTTGTTAATATATAATTATTCACAAATTAAAAATATATTTTATTGATTTGACAATCATCTTGTATAAATATAGTTTTCGATTCAAAATAATATTACATTATCTTTTTTAAGTTTTGTATTATAAAAATTAAATCCCTATATATTATATATAACATTAATGCATATATTAATGTTTTCAAATTTATTTTATCTAATAAAAGATAATTTTATAATATTGACAAAAATTTGTCATATGTAAAAACCTTAATATTTAATTTATTAATAAATAGTTTCAGAAACAGTAGTTCAATCATCGTCTTTGAATCAAATATAAATTTGTACGTTTTGTAACTAATTATAAAGGTAAACTAGATTTTCGGTCTGCGCTTAAAAGACGCGAGTACTATTATTGTTGTTTTATTTATAGATGAATCAATAAGTCTTTTGTTTTAATGGTATAAAATGTCACAGAATCAAGATCAAGTTATCTTGGGGATATTAAGAAATTTTTATTTTATAATGTCTCAGAAATTTTTTTAATGTTTCTAAATATATTAACAATAGTTGTACCTCAAATTTATATTTGAGAAAGATTGTATATTTAACAATAAAATGAACCATTTATTATTTTTTTTATTAATTCATAAAATCATTTAGTTACAAAATTTCACTATCTAATCTAACTTCTTAAAATTAATGAAGATTTTAATTTATGATTATCATTAAATATCTATATAAATGTATTGTATATAATTGTATAATTTTATTTAGAAAAAATAATATGAGTTAATTTATTTTTATAATCAAATATCTACATAAATGTATCGTATCTGTTATATTGCTTTATAGCTTACAATATAGGAATGTGTGTTGTGTGAGTAGGCGTGCACCTGGGAACGGGTAATTGTTCGTCGAATTCAAAGCCACATTTGTCTTTATTTGTTGGTTTACAAAAACTACTCTACATTAGTTTCTAGAGGCGGATAAGGTAACTCTATTTTAGTAAATATCCTGGGGGGTTTTAGTAACTCGAAGTGCATTTTCACGTGCACCAAACACTACAATTTTAAACGCTACAGAAAGAATGCAGTCATATCAAAACATGATATACTACTATATAATTCAAAAGATCATTAACAACCTAACAGTACAAACTCGACTTGCTTTTAACCCCTCTTTTTTCTTAGCAACTTTTTTTTTGGTTATCTACATGAACATGCACTGCAAATGCGTGTCGCTTAGAGACCAAAATAAACTCGATTGGATGGAATATTCTAATGGTATATCTTTTGTGTTCATCAAGATAATGGTATTGTCATGGTTTGACATGTTTTTTTATCTACATATCATTATCATCTCTATAACATATCTAACCTTCCCGTTCGAGTAGAAAATTCTTCCTTTTTTTCTTAAGCACTTAATATTTTCCTAACACTACTCTTTTCATATGTAGTCTTCTCCTTTTCACAAAAAATATTACTGATACATTGTTTTTATAAAAAGTATTAATATTAATTAAAAGCCAGAAAAAGAGAGAGAGTGAGGACAAAGCTCTCAAATCTCTGTCTGGGCGGAAGCCGACCCAACAGCGCATAGTGGCAGGCAGACACTAACATCTGCAACTATGGCCCTTGAAAAAGACGTTTCCACCCTTTTCCATGTCATTCTCTTACATTTTGCTTCTTATGTATCAGATCAGATTACTAAAAACTATCCAAATAAATTATGGAAATCTATTCCGTGACGAGATAAACTTATTTATGATAACCTCGGTCCTTTCAATCCTTTATGCAAGTCAGTAATAAGAGCACAATCTCATCCGGTGAAAAGAAAACAACTCAACTGTTTTTAGTTTAGGCTATAGAGTAGTAAGCTATTTCGATAAATGGTAGATACATTGTGAGATAGAGCAGAGAATGAACACAGAATTGGAAGCTTCTGAAAATTGTTTGTATGCTGAGTGGGCAGTAAGAAAGCGATGTGGCACGGCATCGTCTTCTTCTCTCTTGTCTCATTCTACTTTTTATTTTGTTTTATTTCGTAAATAGTATGAGCAAAGCAACGTGTTGATACAAAAATAATATGAGCAACGTTGTTAATATATATGCTCAAAACTTTTCATACATGATTATTAGTAATAATAATATTATGGGAAACATTAAACATTTTGAAGAATGAGTTAATAGCGGCGGCTATAGTCGTCTCATGGATTTTTGTACGTGAGGTGTGCCATGGATTGTGGGTCGATTTCTTTAACTATTTTCTTCTCTTCTAATAATAACACGTTCATATTACTTTAACGAAATTAATTAGGTATGTAAGTAAACAAAAACCGCCACCACTTTTCTTTAATTGAGCCAACGTATTAAAAGAAATCATAATTACAAATGAAAGCTATAAACCCTTTTACATAAGATAGGTCTATTATTCAGCGTCGAAATCATATCAAATTGATTCTTCTTTCTTTGCAACATCAAAGCTTATCGTTGTGTAAAACCTTCGTATAAAGACTTACAGTCTTCACATAGAAAAGGTTAAAAACCTTGCAAAGCATCACCAGCTAAGTGGTGGTACATAATGATTCTGAGAAGAATAAGAAAAGGAATACTCAATACTAAAACGAATCTTTTACAATTCCCAAAACGTAGTGAAGAGGAATCTTGACCAAGATGAATAACGTACGCATGCACCAAGTGCATACGACCACACCAAATATCTGTAAGTGCTCCATCGATCTTTCTATATTTAATCTAGTGTTACGTTGAATGCAGTCTCCTCTGTTTTTCATTAGAACCACATGCTTAATATCTTTACGCCATTTCAACTAAAAGGTATATTGAAGCAAAGAAAAAAAAACTAAAAGGTATATTATATAGTTTCCAGTATACTGAAATTATAATCAGAAAAATCTCTATCCCCCGGAGAAGTCCCTTTCCCCACGCTATTTAGTTTTGTTCGATCGCACTTGAGATCATGGCAATTGAGTACAGCTGAGCTCTGTCAAGTAAGCTTAATTTCTAAGAATAATTTGTGTATGGTTAAATGCATTTTTATATTTTGGCAAGATTAAATACCTTTTACCTTTTAAGGTTTACACACATCAGTTTACTTTGATATGCACAATATTTCATTTTCTTAACGTTTTAAATTACTAAAAGTAGCAACGGTTTTACAAATTCCTAACACCTACCGACAGAAAACAAGAATGCTCATTAAAATTAAGAAAATAGAAACTTGCCAAAGCTACTACTCCAGTCTTCTTTTTCCTTTCTTCAAGAGCTTCTTTATCCAAATTCTCTTAAAAGCTTTATCTAAAGATGCTATTGATTTAATTTGTGGGTATTCAACAAAATGGGCATTGCTCTTTTCTAATTCCATAATCTCCCAAAAGATTTAAAAAGGGTCCCTGTGCTTTTTTCTTCTAATACTTGGTAGTAGTATCTCATCATAGCCCCAAGAGAATGTAGTAGAGAAGGGTTATGGGCAACGCAATCAGCATTCCAAATATCACACTACAACCAAACAAAACAAGACAAAAATTCACAAGGCTCGTTAACACAAAACCCTTATCCAAATCCAAAGTTTCACAGATTTACTATATGAACAAAGGAATACACTTACGCAGTGCTAAGAATGTCAGGATGCACATTGTACTCCTTGGCGAATACAAAGGGTACAATTCCTTGAGGCAAAGCTGCCTGTTTTTTATCAATAAAATAATTATTTGAATTAAATAAAGAAAGTTAAACAAAAAAAAAAGTAAATAAAGAACAATGACATACATTAAGCATTTTTTAAAGCATTTATTTGATCATGTATACAAAAAATATAACTAAGAAATACCTGAATGATAGCGACGTGGAGGAGGACACCTCGGAGG